ATTGAGAAAAGGCTGTCATTATATGGTCTCATTTAACAATGATTTGCATGACTTGTATGGCAATCATCACACATCCGACTCTAACTAACTATAAGTGATTCAATTCTTTACTGATTCTTTAAATTTCAATTGTATTTATTGTATTGTTAACACAGAATTCACATTTACTCTCATATCAAATACATAATTAAACTAATTCTTATTCTTTAACACATACTCTTTCTAAAGTTATATAATTGAAAATATGATTTTCTTATCATTGAATGTAATGTTTGCAAAATATTTGCTGTATTAATGGTATGTATCACTAATTTAAGTTACAAATAATGCTAATATCCTAACATCGCATGTCTATTGTATGATGTATGAGGAATGTGTCATGAATTACAGTATTAACGATAATATTATAATAATTTGAATGGATTTTTAAATTAACTGTTATTTGAGTTGTTTTGTTGCACTGAATGACATTTTTGCACTTTTAATTTTGTTTTCTCAATATATGTAATGCTCGTCTCGACCAGTCGTCGTCTCCAACGACAGCACTTATACAGAATTGAGAAAAGGCTGTCATTATATGGTCTCATTTAACAATGATTTGCATGACTTGTATGGCAATCATCACACATCCGACTCTAACTAACTATAAGTGATTCAATTCTTTACTGATTCTTTAAATTTCTATTGTATTTATTGTATTGTTAACACAGAATTCACATTTACTCTCATATCAAATACATAATTAAACTAATTCTTATTCCTTAACACATACTCTTTCTAAAGTTATATAATTGAAAATATGATTTTCTTATCATTGAATGTAATGTTTGCAAAATATTTGCTGTATTAATGGTATGTATCAACTAATTTAAGTTACAAATAATGCTAATATCCTAACATCGCATGTCTAGCAAATGTATGAGGAATGTGTCATGAATTACAGTATTAACGATAATATTATAATTATTTGAAATGGATTTGATTTAATTGACAATAAACTCAACAAAACAACGTGACTTACTGTAAAAACGTGAAAATTAAAACAAAAGAGTTATATACATTACGAGCAGAGCTGGTCAGCAGCAGAGGTTGCTGTCGTGAATATGTCAGAACGTCTTCCGAAGTGAATTTAAGTGACCAATCAGTGACAGGCAATCGATCGGGACTTAAATCTAAGTTATTCAGCGCATTGGGATTTCACGGCCCAACCTCTTCCGCTTAACTCACGTTTATAAGCATTAGTTAATTGAATGCTCTAAACATTGTTTTATACAAACTCTCTATCGCCCAAATCCCACATTTTTTGTTCCGTAAATCGGATCCCTTTTCACGTCTAGAATCACTTGTGTGTCAATCAATTATGAGTCGCTTCAACACCAAAACACTGATTAAAACTTATTGTTTTATTATTATTATTTAACTTTTAATTTTATTCATTCTGTCTTTGCATTCAATTACTGATTAATTTATATATTGATTGATATTATTATATATTATATATGCATAGAGTCTGTGATATTAAATATTTTTCATTATTTTCTGTTCGAATCATTTTTATTTACATTATTTTATAGAAAAGTATGTTTATATATAAAATTAATATTAATAGACAATCATTTTAACAACAAAATCAAAATTATTTTACATATTAATTACTAAATGATAAATAAATTGAAAATAATTTTTTAGAAAAGTGTACAAAAAATGCGATGAATATATACTCAATTGAATCATGAAATAAAAAACATTTTTTCATTAAACCGATGGAAAAGTTATTATAAAAACTGTGTTCTCTGTAGAAGTGCACAAAATCTATACTCAATAACTCATTACATTGAATATCTGTCTTTAAATGCCTGTCAATGTCTTCAATTGTCATATGATATGGCAATACACACACAGCTATCCAATAGTGCCAACGCCTGTCATATGAAACACAGCATCTCTTTGACAAGAATTAGCTCAACATTACGTCGAAGTAGTGCTAAGCTATTGCAGAAAATGAAGTCAACTTATCCTGACTATTATCCTGAGTTTATTAATGCAAGGTTTGTCTCTTTGCACATCACCTCAGATCAGGCTTAAAACACACACAATAAGCACCCTATTGTCTAATCAGTTAATATTTTATCGGCTTTCATATTAATTAAATTATTTGACAATTAATAGGATATAAGCATTGAATTTACAAATTAATAATTTATAAAAAAAAGACTCATTGATTGATTGCATTGTTTTACAATTGGTTTGCTATAGAATGAAGCGAACTCTTTCCATGTCAACCATCACATCGCAAGAGGTGGCGGCAACTCATGAGAACTTCACCACCAATTTGCTAAACATGAAGAATAAGACATCGAGTTCTGTTCTTAACGTCTGTAGCATTAGTGTTCAAATTATTATTAAATAACTTTTTTACTATAGTAAAAAGTACTGTAAGGAAATAAAACGTAAGTAAATGTGAAAATATGTAAATTGTTAAACAAATCTTTTTTTTTAATACAAGAATAAGTCTCAGTAATCAAGTCAGTAGAAAGAAATTATATTTTATTTTGTCAATTAAGGATAATATGGGTTTGAATATAATTAGCAATATTTGAAATAAACGAAAATATGAAATGAATCGGTTTTATACGGTATTAACATTTTTATGTTTTTCGTAATATTTTAAACAAATGTTTTGTTTTTCTCATTTGATTGAATTGATTGAAATTTAAAATTGTATAGATATTAAAAGTATTTTAAATAAACAATTTATTTATTTGCAAATTCTGTGATTTAAAAATATTTTCCAATTGAAGAATGATAGAAATTATTTAATATAATTCATATTGTAATATAGTTGTAAAATATGGAGAAATAAATATGCAATCATCACATTGTAATCACCAATCAATGGCAACACCGAATCATACAAAAAACATTTTCTATACAGATTCTGTATTACAGAATCTACAGAATATGAACTTAAATATATGCCTAAATATGACATGAATGTTAGCCTAAAACTGCATGGTTCAATTATTACACATACATAATTTCGATGAGTTACATATATGAGTCGAGTTGTGGGATTACCATGGTTTAATTTTTGACAACTAAAGATGCATATGTAGTACAGTATACTGACTGTGATTCAAGTTTTGAAGTGTATAAGTATTGCCTTTTTGTAAATCTCTCTAAAGTGACACAAATTGACTGCATTTGGGGAATAGAAATGATTATTTGTTCATCTGGGTAAACATGTTTCATTGCCATCCATTGCCATCGCATACCATCCCAGGCCATAGTGCAGAGGGAGGACCAGTTATTGAGATGGTATGGCAAACATGTCAATCACATGAGACCGGTATTGTGTTATTCGTGTCAAATGTATGAACCAATGCTTGTTATGTTATGCAGAGTAATGGACTGTACTTTGCTTTTAATGTCAATCATGTGATAGATTTATACAATCAATTAAACCACACAATTGTCTGGCAGTGTCTGCAACAGTACAGTATAGGACCGATCACTGTATGTGTGCTGTACTGTACTGTATGTCAAACCCACAGAATTAGTGCCCAAAATGTGGTGCAAATGGTATGAAATAATGCCATAAATAACGCATAGAATAAGCGCTACTTTGGGAACCCTTTGGACACTTAGTGTTGAAGTTTTACGGCATTTATGTGTTGAGCGAAGACATCGTTACTGTAATGACGGTTCAAAGACATCCATCACTTCCAACACATCCAACACTTCCAACGCTGTATTGTTAGCGCATATGATATGTATTACTCGTTATTACCATTTCATTAGACAACTAATTGTCAGCAAATGTTGTGTTAATTGAGAATACATTTCAACTAAACGTATAAACAATTGAATTGAAAACTCATTTCCAAACCATTTAAAGGTAAATATTTTGCTAATTATTTGATTGCTTTTGTCAACCAATTTGTGACTCCTCTTCAGTGACAGACATTTCATATCAATTATTAATACATGTGTTGTCTTCAGTTGTCATCATTTACTGACATTCAATAGTATTGACACCATTTGTCACTTTATGTCACAATTGTCTACAAATGCCTATAATTTGTTTTAATTTGAATCAATGTTTTGCTTATAATTAGTGTTTTCTGTTTTGAATATATAATTAGTAGTAAACGGACACCACTTTGAGCCCTAAGTGCCTGTTATTCATGGATATAATGTTATAAATAGTTTAATTGTTAAGACAATTGTCTATTAGTTAATAGTAAAGAGGTTTTGATGCCATTATTTGATGCGATTAAGAGCTGAGCCGACAGATAGTGTACGCGAGTGTATGTCATATAATAAAGTGATAACTTATGAAACCCTGAGTTAAGCATATAATGGCCTAAACTTGTTATTCAACATATCATACATTCCTTCCCTTTACTCAAATGTTTTCCTCACAACTCATGAGACAATTGTTTGTCAACTCTTAACTAGAAATTGATTTTTAATATTGCGTTTAAATTACTATTAAATAATATTATCATTAATTTAATTATACATTAAACGAGTTTTTGGTTTTGCTTAATAGTGTAGACAACTGTCCCCTAAAGGCTTAAGGCATGGATTTACAAACGCCCCTAATCTGTGCGGGAGTGGTGGCCGTCACGTCTGCCGCTGTTTACCTCAGCTCTGTCTTCGGTATGAAAGAGAGGACTTATGAGGAGGCGATCGAAGAGCAGAGACGACGAAATAGTTTGGATATTAGTCTCAAACCCAACAAAACGGTTGACAAACCAAAGAAGGAGAAGAAGGAGAAAAAGAAGGAAAAGTTAACTAAAAAGGACAAACCGAAAGACAAGTCCTCTATTGGAGCGCAACAACAGTCCACTGAACCCAAGCCAACCGTCAAAGAGTCAGTCCGTAAGACAGAACACGCGGTCGGTTTCAAAGCCGAACCCGAAGTGGTTTTGTGGAGCGAAGACTCAGAAAGTGTTGATATTTCCAAACAACGAAAGCCTTCGTACGACAAACCAATTAAACCAATTTTATTGAACAAAAGCGATCAAAACATAGATCTAAGCCAAGTGTTGAACGAATCGGTGAACGGAAGGAATTCTTTCGATCAAATCTTACCCAAAGATGATTTGGAACTCATGAAGCACTACGAGAGGAGCTTAGATAGCGAACCGACGGTCGAACCCGTTGTCGAGGAGCCTATTGTTTACAACACAACTACTGTGCCGTTGGCTTCGAGTGCAACCAATTATAACGACAATGATTTATCGCATCAACACATGAGTAGTGAAACCGACAGTCGAGTCGCCGAAGTGTTGAGAATCGAGAGCTCAGAGAATTCATCGCCCGCTCGGAAGTCGAGGAAATCGAAACAAAACTCACTCGAAGGTAGGCTTTCGTCAATTATTTGCGATAATTTCTTAAGCCATTGATAAAGACGTTCAAAGTATGTCAAACTGACGGCTCATTTTTCTATCACTTTTGACTCAACATTTTTATTCATTCATTTCTACCACAATATACTGTATTTATTGCTATTTATTATTTCAAGCGCTTTTGATAACACAAAATTGGTTATCTTTCATATAAATAATTGTCTTATTGTTAATCTCATATCATATCAGTCGCGACTGTCATTACAATTAATCAATAATTCAAAAAGTATTTTAGTCATCAAATTGTGGCAAAACACTTGAGATTAGTTTTATTATGGAGTGAAATACTATACGAATTAAGTTACGAACAAATTATGAATTTAGAGAATTGTGTTCATAAACTTGCGCTCAACTTATTCCTTATTTTATACTTTGTTTATATTAAAAATGTGTGAATATTATAGATTGACTCAATCGCACAAATGCAGCACAAATTATTTTGATTTACTTATAACTAAAGCATATCAACATAATATGCATAAGCAGTCAAATATGTTATATAATATGCACTCATATATGCACTTATACTGGTATTTTCCTGGGAATTGTCCCATACATAGTGCACACCTTTACAATAGTGAAATACAGAATGTCTATCACATAGATATTTGTTTTATGACTTAATATTTAATACTTAATAGAAAATACAATTGATTTCAATTGATTGAAAATTTTCTAATAGTTTAAACACGTTAAGTTACGATTTTCAAGCAAATCCATGCTTTTTATGCTTTAGAACCAAATATTTAGTTATATGCATTTATGTACACTTAAAGTTTGTTAAAATGTTAATTATTATGTAATTCGTTTGCCCGCAAAGATACAACTAACATGTAGAAATATGCATTTGCATGAAATGATATGCTTTACTTATAACTTATGTTGTATCTATAATGTATTGATAGAATTATTAAATTTTATTTTTGGGTATATTAATGTTTGGTCATGTCTTGGACTCTACACTAACTTAATTCATGTGATAAGTTTGATAAGTTAAATCGATTTGTAGAATGGGAGCAATTAGTTAATCATTCAAATACATAAGATCACAGTATTTAATACGGTATAAATGGTAACAATTTAAGCTATTTTACCGCCGTATCTAAACTATACATAAATTATTACATTTTCATAATTTCTATAACTCTTATTACATTTGAAAAAATAACATTTGTATTATAATAAAAAGCTAAATAGAAATATGGTGTTAACTAAAGTAATACCTATTTTGAAAACATAAGTTAAAGGATGGATACCATAGTATGTTAGAGAAGTTGATATGACGTGAGATAATAGTTTTATAACACATATCTAATGCTTGTTTTACTGCAAAACATTTTTTCTAAATTTGAGATTTTATTACCGTATTACCCCGCTTATAGGTGCATGCACTTATATGTGAGTTTTTACACAAGGGGTGCACCTATATCCGGATATAGGTGCGGTAGTTTTTGGCACATTTTTAACTTTCAATTGAAATTTGCATATACCTTGAAATGAAAGTTGAATGACTTATTATTAAACTTTGAACTCTAAAATGTTACTTTAAATGTTTAAAACTTATATATATTTTCTCATCTATTTACGAGTTTAATGAATAATGAGTACAAAATATCTCATATAATAAACATATCTTCAAGTGATGATTCATCACTAATGAATCAATTCAAATAATCAGTGAATAAATGGATATAAATGAAAAAATCAGTGATCAAAGTGTGACAAAACAAAGAAAGAAATTAAAATGAAGATTTACTTTAAATTATTAAATAACGTATCATCTATTCATTAATTTATTAAATAATTTTGACAAATAAATATTGGTGCACTTATATGTGATTTTTACACAAGGGGTGCACTTATATCCGGATATAGGTGCGGTAGTTTTGGTGACATACAAAATCTGCGAAATTCACTTATAAGTGCATGCACCTATAAGCGGGGTAATACGGTAGTAATAAATTATTACTAATAATTATGATTCATAACTTATGAACTTATTAATCTCATGTTATTAAATTATTGTTTACCAATTGAATATTCAGGGTAATAATTAATTTCAAAAAATGATCATGTCATTAATTTTGCTAACCATTGATAAGAGTGGCGCCACAGTTATGACTGGAGAAGTACTTGACCTGAAGAGAGCCCATCCACGGGAACTCCATGGGTAGGACTGACTGTCCGCCCATTATTTTCGGCACCAAATTCACGCCTTTTATCCGGCATTCGGCCAAACTTTTACCTTAATTTAATAAAATAAAAGACATGTAATTTCACATACACTTTTTACAATTATTTACCCTGCGCTAAAATGTGGTAATTGGCGGATAATGCTAACAAAATAAATAACATGTTTGATAAGTTAGTGATTTTTACCAATTTGAGGCCAATTTTTGTTTGTTATAAAAACCAAATGTTTCACTAATCATGTTTATCTATGCAATCAATGTGGGTTATATTAAAATATTATTAATTAATACATGTGTGTCAGTCATGATAGCGGTGTGACTGTGTTTCACATATAATTATGTCTATTGTTATGTCCCATAAGTTTATATGAATTATGTATTTCATTAATAGATTTTATATAAAATGAGTTTTATTTGTGAATAAATTCTGACATAATATACATTAAATAGAATTTGAAGTGAAGTTTCACATAAAAATGATAGAATACAGAATTATTCATTGAATTAATAACACAATTAATAATGAATATAAAAAACTATTTAAAAATAAAAATTCATAATTAATTAATAAGTGAACTAAAATATACTTTCAATAACTAAATTAAATACAAATGAATAAAACAAATATTGGGCCGATTGTAGAGCTTATCAAAAGCGGTTTCACTATTACTTTCATACTTTCCTGTGATAATAACGCCGCGGATTTGTCTCAACGCAGACAGCGATGCGAACGACTGGTCAGTATAGGACCCGAAAAATAGATCTAAATATTGAAGATTCGGTAAATTGTGGCCAATATTGTGGAGAAATGGATCCAAACATCGATTGCACTTCATTTCCAGGTGTGTTAACCGTTTCAATGGCGCCAATGAATCGCTGGTCAGTGCGGGCTCTCCCGCGCCCACCCATCCCGACACTTCCAGTCGTTTTAATGCCTTAAAGTGTTTACTAATTGTGCGAAACAATTGTGGACTCAATTCTTCCACTTCGAGGTGAAGAGACTTCAGTTGCGGACAAATGACACCAATTTTAGTCAATAAAAGGACCAATTGTTGGGCCGAAGAAACGATTAGTCTAACAGACAGTTCCAGCGCAACCAACGCCGGCATTGCAGACAGAGAGGGTACCAGTCTATTGAGTAGAGTGACCGCATTCGCATTCTCCACTTCACCAAACCCAACAATTGGGTAGTATCTCAACATAAATTCCTTCAATTGACGCCCGTATCGGTCGACTATCACAGCCAACTGTTCCGTGGATGGGGTGCTTAGATTTATGGCCAACCGGTCCAGACGTTTGAACACCACTGGGCTCTCAACCAAAGTCCTTAATCCCGGCATATGATTGTATTGAAATAATTGGTGATTTACACACAATTGCAGCCATTCATCCAGACAATCATCATTTCTTGAGAAAATAAATATTGTTTCCAATTGTGGACCAAATTTGGCGAAGAACTTATCCATCGCTTCCACACTAATGCCAGTGATCTCCAGATATATGGCCGTCAAATGCGGACAATATTTGATAATTAAATCAATGACTTTGTCTTCGGGTATATAATAATAGCGTAAACGAATGGATGAAATGTTTGGACACTTTTTGACAATTGATTCAAATATACGCCAATTGATTTTGAAGTATTGATTTGAAGTCTTGTATTTATGGCCAAATTTTGTCATCAATTGTCTCATCGCAGGTAATACTGTTGACTGAAAGCGATTCAAACGCTTCATCGGTATTACTCTGTTGACTAAATTGTCATCAATTGATAGCACTGTTTGTCTCCTGAAGACCACTCTTTGCCACTGTTTGGAAATGCATTCAAAACGGAAACTGTCTTCGAGTGATAGGTATGACAATAACTCTTCGCACAAATCGTCACCGAATCGATCCAAAGAGTCCGAGGCATACAATTCACACATTTTTGTGACACAAAATTAATTGATAACTGAATCGAAAAACACTTGTGATTGAAATGAATGCAAAACTAATGGCAATAATAACACTAAAAATTTTAATTACAAATCACAACAAAAATAGCTTTTAATCCCTTGAGTCAAAATCAAAATGAAAACACATTATAATAATTGTGGCTTAAATATACAAAAACTTAGATCAAGTTGAGTTAAATTACAACTTTAGCTATGGTTATCATTCAGTATCTCATGGAAAATAACTACAAATTACAGTAGATTTTAGTGCAGATGAATACAGATATCATAAAAACATTATAATCTGAATAATACTAGACATAAATGTTAAATAAATTATAATTCAAACTGAATATTAATAATCTATTAATAGATAAATAAAAGTGGTTTGTGTAGGAATTTTTTATGTTAAATCTCATGACAATTACTATTAGAAAAAAAACTTCTACTTTTATTACAATTATTATGGAAATTAATGAATTAGCTAAACTTTATCATCATGGGTAAAATTTTATTTTATTTATCATGGTAATATTTAATAAATACTTTTTTACACTATTATTATATTTATTAAATGTAATTAAAAATTAAATAATAATTACTTAATTTTAATTCAAAATTTTGGGTTCAAAATACTCTAATTATTCTAACATTGTAAATAATTACAACACAATTAATTGTATGATAGTTAAATAAATCACAAATAATAAGCAAAATTTACTTTTGGAAAGTTGCAAAATTTTACAAAAGATAATCATTAATACTAACTATAATTAAACAAATTATTTCTACTATTGAAATATCAAATAAAAGCAAAATTCAATGAAATACCGGTGCGATGGCCAGTGGGTTCAGGTGGGGGTCGCCTCCT